AGGTAACATACAATGAACCACAGACACACAGGTAACATACAATGAACAGTGTATTTTCACTTCATTTTACATAAAAACACGATTGTAAAATCCTGAAGCACATGAAATCACAGTAGATTACATTGAATTTGTTACATCCTGATACATTTACATTGATAAAAGTAAATAATTAATGTTAATATTGACATTGATCTTGACGTTGATGCTTACGTTGTTGTTGACATTAATATGAAGCTAATATTTAAACCTACATATTGACATTAATGTTGACGTTGCCGTGTTTATTTGACAGTGGTGAGCAACGCCTGGTTGGAGACCCTGCTGTCGGCCATCAACGCTCTACCCAAAGAGACCATCAAACAGGAGGTAGAGTGATCAAGGTTATTGATTAATACCTTTCACCAGAATTATTAATCAGTATTAGTATAGTTAAAAGTACTACATTATAACATCACTCAAGGCAGGCAACCAGATTTGGGACATGAAATACCCAGCTCACCTCTCTAACTGTCTTTCTGTCTCTTACCTGTCTCTACTTCTCTCTACCTGTCTCTCCAGCTTTTCCAATTAACCTGTCTAATTGCATTGTTTTCCATATCCTGGACCTTCTTCACTCTGTTTACTATTCTTCTCTGTCCATTTCTTTCTGTACCTGTCTGTCTCTCCATGTGTGGAAGGCACTGTAACTCGCTGTCTCGCTGTCTCTCTTTTGCTGTCTCTATCTGTCCTTGTCTACCTGTTCAGGGCTTTTAGTGTATAAACCCCAGCTGTCTCTCTCTTTGTACCTGTCTGTCTTTTTCTCTGCAGGTGCTGAACCCTCTCCTTTATCAGTCTCAGCTGTCTCACTCTCTTCAGGCTCGTCTGGCTAGCTGTCGAATTTTAGGGAAAGTCGCCTGCAAGTTCGACCCTCACATGTGAGCTGCAGTACTACTGTAGCACTACACACTGTGTACTGTGGTACTACACTCACTATATACTGTAATACTACACACACACACACTGTATACTGTACTACTACACACACACTGTATATTGTAACACTACAAACACACTATAAACAGGTGTGTCATTAGACCTGGTCTCCTACTAACAGGTGTGTCTTTAGACCTGGTCCCCCACTAACAGGTGTGTCTTTAGAACTGGCCCCCCACTAACAGGTGTGTCTTTAGACCTGGTCTCCTACTAACAGGTCTGTCTTTAGACCTGGTCCCCCACTAACAGGTGTGTTCCTGTGTATCAGAGTGAAGAAGGACCTGCTGCCTCTGGTCCGGTCTCTGTGTCAGGATGTGGAGTTGGAGGTCCGGGCCTGTATGTGCCGTCAGCTGGAGAACATCTCCAGAGCGTCGGGGTAAACTTCACAAACACTGAATGAAACAAACATAAACAAACATGCTGCTGTGATGTCACAGTGTTTCTCCTTCAGGGTGGACGACACCAGGACCGAGCTGCTTCCTGAACTGGTGGAGCTCGCCAGAGACGAGGAGAGCAGTGTCCGCCTCGCCGCCTTCGACACCATCATCAACCTGATGGAGATGATGGACGGTGGTGAGTCAGACTGTGAGCTTTAATATCTACATAAAGTTACATTCTCTAAACACGTCTTCCTCTCTCAGATGACAGACTGCATGTCGTGGTTCCCATGGTGATGTCCGTGTGCGAGGCATCGCAGGCGGACGAAGCCGTCGTGGCGTCTTTGTCGTTCCAGTTTGGGAAAGTCTGCAGCGAACTGGCAGGTGAGACTCTGATGTCACACAGTGGAAACAGTAGAGTCACATTCTACTGAAACCAAAGCAGAGTGAGTTCACATCAAGACGGCGCAGGGGTGGCAGCGGTTAGCAAGAGGTTTCTGGGTTGGAACCGCCGGCCATCTTGGGATCTCCTGTGTGGAGTTTGCATGAGCTTCTCTTAAAGGAGGACCAGGACCGTGACTGTGAGTTCTGGTCCAGGTGTGGAGAGCGTTGCTGTGAGTTCCTGTATCTCTGATGAGTGCTGGTTGAGTTGCTGTGTCTCTGATGAGTGCTGGTTGAGTTGCTGTGTCTCTGATGAGTGCTGGTTGAGTTGCTGTGTCTCTGATGAGTGCTGGTTGAGTTCCTGTGTCTCTGATGAGTGCTGGTTGAGTTGCTGTGTCTCTGATGAGTGCTGGTTGAGTTGCTGTGTCTCTGATGAATGCTGGTTGAGTTGCTGTGTCTCTGATGAGTCTGGTTGCGTTGCTGTGTCACTGATGATTGCTGGTTGCGTTGCAGGCTCCCTGTCAGACGAGGAGAAGGGCCGGTTGCTGCAGAGGTTTAAGGTTCTGTGTGTCGCTGGGTTGCAGACTGAAGGAAACCAGACTGACTGCAATGAGTCAACACTGATCCGTTGCAACTGTTGCTACAACCTGCCGGTACAATCAGCAACAAAGATTCAGGTTTCAGTTCAACGTTCACTCCTCCAGACAACTGGTGTCACTTCCTGTTTGCTCTCCCTCTCCAGGCCATGGTGGTGTTTGCTGACTCAACTCACTTCCTGTCAGAGCTCTACCCGTCTTTCTCCGGTCTTTGCTGTGACCCGCAAGTCAGCGTTCGACGAAGTGCTGCAGCCAGTTTCCACCAGGTGAGATAACAGACACCACATGAACATGGGTCTGTTCTCTGAGTCTTTGATTGAAAATGGGGTCAATGAAGTCTAAGGGAGCCTGGTTTAAGGAAGGAACCTGAAGGTTTCATCCTCTTAGCAGGAAGGGGATCAGGACCCTGAAGCAGCTGTTGAGGTATAATATAAATATATAAGGTGTAATATTAAAAAACACGGAAGTCAGTTGTTGAATTTTAAAGTTTTTTGACTGTAAATTTGCCAACTGGCAGAATAAAACAACAGCTCTTTATGTAAGTTTATAGTTTGTAAGTCTTAAAGCCGTCTTCTCTGATGTCACATGTTTGACTCCGCCCCTTCCTGTCAGGTGGTGAAGCTGCTGGGTTCAAACGTCCAGCTGGTCCACAAAGAGCTGCTGGCTCTGCTGCAGGATGAAGCTCTGGAGGTCAGTCAGGACGCAACGGGAATGTTCTGGTAGTTTTCTGGTTTTTGGAATGATTTGTAGGTTCTTCTTTAGTTATTTATTTTGTATTTGTTTATTTTGTTCTATTTTGTATTTTGACATTTTTTATTGATGTGCCCACTTTGCAGCTCATACTTGTAGGAATAGACGCATAGATCCAAACCTTTCAATGCACAAAACGTTGAACAGACCGTGTGTGTAGCTTTTTATTTCTAATGTTGTTTCTCAGAGCTTTGACTGTTGTTATTTCAGGTGTTGGACGCTCTCATGAATCACCTGGAGGAAACTCTGGAGGCGGTTCTGACCAGAGGAGAGAACCTGGTGCTGGACAACAAGGTGGGGAAACCAGCCTCCAACACTGAAATCAGGATTAATATCTGTGTGTTTCTTTTTCCTGTTGCCTCTCTCATCTCGGTTCTCTCGTGTCCTCTGATTCTTCTACATTCCCTTGCGGTTCCTGTGGTTCCTCATCAGTTCCCGGAGCTGCTGTCGGCTCTGCTGTCGGTGGAGCAGAAGGTCGGATGTTCTCTGCGTTGGCGGCTGCATGAGAAGCTGCTGCAGCGTTACAGCTGTCTGGCCCGACTTCTGCCTGGAGAAGTGCTGCACCAGAACTTCTCCCCCCGCATCTTCACCATCCTCACCACTAATGTCAGCAACTACGACACACGACTCAATACAGGTGAACCAGGTGAACAGACAGGTAACCCTCCCCCTACGCTTGTTGCTGTTGCAGAAGGTGTTGCCGGTTCAAAGAGAGGCAGCTCGGACGTTCTGCACATTTCTGCGTTACAACCGCAAACACGAGCAGCGTCAAGAGATGATGGAGCGACTGATCCAAGGTCAGAATACTGTGGTCCTTCAGGTGGTCTCATGTATGAACAGGTGACCTCGTAGGTCAGAGTACTGTGGTCCTTCAGGTGGTCTCATGTATGAACAGGTGACCTCGTAGGTCAGAGTACTGTGGCCCTTCAGGTGGTCTCATGTATGAACAGGGGACCTCGTAGGTCAGAGTACTGTGGCCCTTCAGGTGGTCTCATGTATGAACAGGGGACCTCGTAGACCTCCCTGTGACATCCCTTTGAAAGGCTTTACTTAAATCCATCAAAACCTCCTTCCTCCTACTTCCTGTCTAAGTTGCTGCTAAGTCAGAAGACTTAAGATCTGTTGATGGTTCTCCTGTTGTTTCAGATCTGGCTCAGGGGCGGAGCTACTGGAACCGCTTGAGGTTCCTCGATGTTTGTGAAACGGCCTCTGAGATTTTCTCCAGAAAATACTTTAACAAATACTTCCTGGTTCCAGCGCTGGAGCTGGTCCACGACCCCGTGGCCAACGTCAGGTAGGTCTGTCAGTGAGACAGGTAGACTCTGTCTCTCTGGCATCAGATGTGACAAACCTGTCTGCTCACCTGACTGTCTGCTCACCTGTCTGTCTGCTCACCTGTCTGTCTGCTCACCTGTCTGTCAGGTACAAGCTGTGCCAGTTGTTGCCCAGATTGCGTTCATCGCTCCGTCTGCCGGCCGACAAACAGCTGCTGCAGCAGCTCGACTTCTGCGTCCAGAAACTCCTCTGCAGAGAAAAAGACAAGGACGTGGTGGCCACGATCCGCAAGGTAACATCTGGACTAACAGAGACCAGTACAGACCTCCTGTCACTTTCTGCAGGTCTATTAATGTAGTCTACTGAGACCAGTACAGACCCACTATCAGAAGACTGTGAGAAATGTCTCCCGTAGCTGTGCCTACAGTGTATAGATAGATACTAAACTGTAAGTCGCTTTGGATAAAAGCATCTGCTAAATGACTGTAATGTAATGTAATGTAAAATAATAACGTGTTAAATGTGGTCTTATTGTTTTTCAGACAGTCCTGGAACTGGACAAACTGGACCTGGCAGAGCCTGTAAGCACCTTGTTTTCATAAAGGACTGATCTGTAAATCACAGCTGAGAGTTTGGTTTCACTTTAAACTCGATCTCCATCTAGTATGTTGTGTGTTTGCAGTTTCACAAGAGGCAGGAGAGGGATTTACTGGACCAGAAGAAGGAGAAGGAAGAGAATCTGCTGCTGGAGATGGTGAGTCTGAAGCTGATAGTTCCTCTTGAGTCTGAATCACTTCCTGTTTTGTTTTCATGACGTCTCCTTTGTCGTCAGGAGCAGCTGGAGCGCCAGCAGAGTGAAGGAAAGCTGAACTCTGAGAAACATACAGAGAGGAAACGTGAGCAAAACTCTCATTTCACTTTAAGATGATTCAGTGTCTGCTGGTATATTTTCAATCTGGAGTATCTGGATATATGTAATGGAAAAGTTGTGTATCTTTTTGGCCAACTTGTATTCCTGGTCAGAGTTAATTCATCATAGTGCGTTTCTGCTCTGTAGTCCAGTTTGTAAACTGTCTTTTTTTGACAGGAAGAGACAGTAAAACCAGTCTATCTGCCATCAAATCCATGTCTGTGTCTTCGTCTGGAAACACCTTGTCGTCCTCCGGTAAGAAAAGATATTAATATTAAATATTAATAAAACGACGACGAGCTGCAACGGTTTTTGTGGCCACTGAGAAAATGTTCCACTGGTGAGCTTTGAACACAATCAATTAACTCTTGTTGAATTAGTATTCATTCAAAGCTATCATCAATATTTTTGCTATCAATGAAATGACAAAGTGAAACCAGTGTGACATGTTGTGTTTCTCTGGTTATGATGAACCTCAGAAGGAAGATCATCTGAATTAGCAGCTCATCTCGTCTTTAAGGAGCTTCATAGTGACTTTCAGCTCATTGTTTATCTTACCGGCTCATTGAAGAGGAAGCAGGGGACATGCCCCCCTCAATATCTACAACGTGAATCCCCCCCACAGCAATAACACCATGGAAGTAGCTGCACACTTTTATTTTGAAGAACTGCTAGAATAATAATCCTAGTTTATGAAGGACATTTGCACTAATTTCACGCTCAACACTTTCTAGAGTCGTTTTCAGAGAATTAGCTGTAAAAAGCCTCGGTTCACTACCTGCTCAGCAGCAAACAGCGGACTCGGTTAGAGGCCAGCTGCTGAACATAGTGGAGCATTTAGCAGCTAAAGAGACACACATTTCCCTCAGGAGGTGGTGGAGATCCAAACAGAGCTAAAAGAGAGAATATTGGACTCACATTCATCAGGTGACACAAACACAAAGACTCCTATGAATCATCATGTAGCTTCGTAACCACTGGATGTTCAACGTATCAACTTAAAGGCAATGATATGTTAATGTTATGTTCACTTCCTGTTTCTGTTGAAGTGGACAAAAACATCAGTTTAAAGGTCGTAGAAGTACACAGTATTACATCCTGCAGGTGACACAACATGGAATCGACTGTGTAGCTGAAAACATCTTTAAGTTTTGGCAGTTTGGTAAAGTGGAACAGTTTCTGCACGAGTCACAACATTACTCCAGTATTCACAGGTTCGGTACCTGACAGTAAACGTAGTAGCTCATCTCAGAACATCATCAATACAAACCATGATGATGATGAAGATGATGATGATGATGATGAAGATGATGATTCTTCTTCTTACAGGTAAAGAGATGAGGAAGGCTAAACTGTCGAGGAGTCGATCTCTCAGCAGTCAGCCGACGACGTCCAAACCTGCCAACTCAGACCGACCTCTGTAAGACCTGCAAGCCTTCCTTCTCTTTAAACTCGAAACACCAGCTTCAGGTTTCAGTCTCTCAGGGTTCAGTAGCAGAACCACAACCACAACCAGAACTGTTTATTGCCAAGTATGTTACACAGACAAGGAATTCTGCTCGGTGAATGGTGCGTTACAGTAAACTCAACAGTATAAGACATCATTTAAAATTAGAAAATATGACAATTTACAGTCAAATATGGTAAACTAACAAACAAATAAGAGTACATTACAAGTGTCAAGTGTATTTTAATATAGAAAAGTTGTGCAAGGGTGTATAACTGTAATTATTATCACATTTTAGTTTTCATCACCTTTCCGTCGTCGTTCACTCAATAGTATGAAGTCTTTAACGTGACATTGACCTGCTTGTCAAGGTTCAAGGTTTTTAAAATGGGTTTTAAAACGAGGAAGGACCAGTTCTCCAACACTCTGTCCTCAAGGTCGTTCATGAGACTGATGAGAAAGGTTTGGTTTCAGGAGATAAAGCTGTGTGTCGTCAGCATACGAGTGTTTTTGGGGGAATCATGTACTTAGAAACAGAAGGGGACCGAGGACGGAGCCGACCCTGTTCTGGATCTACCAAGATGTCTCGGTCCACTGGATCAAACGCCGTGCTGAGATCAAGACAATCTGTGATCTGATGTTGAAAACAAGGTTCAAGTGTTCTTAATGTTTTGTTTTCTGGCTCTGTGTTTCAGGAAAGTGAAGGAGATGAGCAGCATGTCTGGACCCGGGAAGTCCTCCATGTCACTGAGCAAAGGTACCGCCTCCTTATTTAACACAGGCTCTGTCGAAAGTCAGGTAGTGGTTTTCAGGACTGTAGAACCACTACGGTTCGGGAGGACACATCATTATTCACACATCACTTGTGTTTTATAGATGACCCCTTGAGGACTGCCCATTTCTCTACCGCGACCCAGTCCACCTCCTCCATGCCAGTCCTGATCCGCAGTAACACCACCAGCCTCCTGGAGAGGGCCAGTACCCTGGACCACAGGACCAGCAGCCTAGATCAGAGAGATCATAGAACCAGTACCCTGGACCACAGGACCAGCAGCCTAGATCAGAGAGATCATAGAACCAGTACTCTGGACCACAGAACCTGTAACATGGACCACAGGAACAATATGATGGAGCAGAGAACAGGTACAATGGACCATAGAACCACTACCATTGATCAGAGAGAACACAGAACCAGTACCTTGGACCATAGAACCATTGACCAGAGAGACCACAGGACCAGTACCCTGGACCATAGAGACCATAGGATCAGTACCATGGACCAGCGCAGTAAAACAATGGACCGGGGTTGTGGGGTGAAGGACAGCCAGTCCAGAAAGCTGTCAATGTGAGTTCTTACCAAATGTTCTGGAGGTAGAATTCTACGAGTTAATGATCCCACGTGTTTTTTACAGTTTGTAACCCAAAGTCCGCTCAAACCAGATCCAGGAGTGGCCCTCATACAAGGTTCTCTCTGAGTTCATTGAACCAATCACGTCTGAGACCATCCCTCCCTGAATCACTACACAGTAATTCAAGGAGGGGTCAACAAAACCCTCTGGATTAGTTTCAACTAGTTCAACATGGACCAGATGTTTAGTTCCACTGTCACAACATAAAGGAATCCTGTCCAGCTGTAACCTGGGTTTTACCTGGTTTATCCCCATTTTAACCCTGTTATTGTTTAGTCCAGACTTAGTCCAATCCTTGTGCCTTAGTTTAGCTCTACTTTGACCCAGTTTTAGCCCTAAGTAATCGTTATCTGATCCCCAACCGAACCCTTCACCTTTTCATCTACGCTTTAGTTTATTGATTCTTTGTGGCTCACTTGGCCCCGATGGACCATCTTACTCCTCGACCAACCCTTATTCATCCCTGTGATCGTTTACTCTGATCATGTGTTGTTTATCCTGTTTTAGTCGTAGCTTTTCTCGTTAAATCCATTTTTGAAGCAGCTGTAAACTGGTAGCCAGTGGATGCTCATTGTGCCCTATAAACACCATGAACCAAAGCAAACCAGAACGCTTCTGATACTAAAACCTTGTTCCGTTGCCCGATTCTGGATATAAATACAGAATTTATTGATAGAAATTAGTTTCTGGTTAAACCCCGTCTAAACTCAGTTTAGCCCTGGTTTTGTTTACTTTAGTCTTAATTCAACCTCACCTTGTCAAACGATTTATGAGCTGTTTTGTTTTCTATTCTACAGAAACAGGAAGTCAAACTCTTTCAGCGTCCAGTCAGGAAGAGACTGAAGATGATGATGTCATCGTACCGCCACCAGGCCACGAGCCAATCAGCAGTCAGGGTTCACAAGTTTAAAGACGAGTAAAGGCTTACCCAGAATGCAACAGGACGTCTGATCTACTGAGCACTGTGTATTCTAATGATCTCATCCTGTCTCCTGATTGGTTCAGTAAACACATACAAACTTGTGTTCTTATTGGTTCGTGTTCCACATGCTGACACGCGATTGGTCGGATGAATGTTCTCTGGCTCCATATAACTGTGTTGATTGTTTTTTGGAACATGTGATGTCACTGTGCTGTTTGATGACATCAGGTGTTGTGTGACAAAATACAGAAGTTAATTTTAATGTTTAATGTTTTACACTTATTTAAATAAGTACAGGATGTTTTCACACATGCGAACAGTACAAATGCTATGATAGCGGTTGTCATGCTAACTAAACAAAGTCATCAGTTTATCATTAGTTATTAGTCTTTAAGTGCATTTGAATGGTTTAAATCAAACCCAGTTACACCAGTAACTCTAGTGTCTCCACCATCACAACATTGACCACAAATAGACCCTTTTACAGAGTTACAAGCTTTAAACACTGAATTAAAACTCTTTCCAACATCTAAACGTCTGTTTCATGTTCTCATGTCACAACCCGGTGTTTCACTTTAACCAGTGACCG